AATGATCTCGAAAAAAAAGATGGAATACAGATGGTTTTCTGCTGCAAAAAAAAAAATGATTCATATCACTGTCTGTCATATAAAGCTCATATGCTTTATAACAACAACAACAAAAAGATTTATTTCCGATCAACACTTGGTGGTAAAAACTTGTAAAATTTTTCGTTTTAAAGATTTACAATAATAATAATAAAAAGGGATCTATTATAATAGCCAAATGTGAATGGTGATGATGCCAATATATCATATAAATCATAAAAATGTTCGTCATTATCAGAATACAAATGTTACAGGCATGATAAAATTCAAAACAACAACGATTTTGGGCAAAAATTCAAGCACCTGAAATTGTTTTTGTCACACAAAAAACCCTACCTAACTTAAATTTGCGTGTGTATGATATGTGTTTTATGATTATTATATTATCACCTAAATATTACTATTTTTTGTTTTGTAAACCTACGCTTTCACACACGCACCTACACACGAATATAAACAGTTAGCCTTAATTTGAAGGAACAATTTGAATAGCCAAAAAAAAACAAAACATGAAAAAAAATTAACATCTGCCTGGTCAAATAATATATTCAGTAGGTATAAGGAGGATATTCTATAACCCTAGACCTGGGACATTTAGCAGTGTGTGTTTTGAAACAAATAGAAAATCACATAAAATTTTGTTTACATTGTTTATACATCGAGCCAAAAAAAAGAAAAATTTAAAGAATAACAGTGAAAGACAAAGCTATGATATCGATACCAACTGATCGATATTCAATCAAATCGATTGATAATCGTCGTCATATGGAAAAAAATGATTCATGGGTGGAGAAGGTGTGAATATGATGATTATGATGACCAGAAATTACCATATCCGTAGCCAATAAATAGGTGCGACTTTTTTCACCATCGTTTCGGTTTTCAATGTTCTATGTTCATTTTTTTCTGGAATAAGAGAATATTATACATAACAACAATATCATCATTATTCATAACTATGACTATACTAATGAATGATGAATAAAAAACAAGAGGGTTTCATTAAATCAAATTGAATTAGGATCATTGTTCATATAAGTGTGTGTTATGAATCCAACAAAAACAAAAAACATTATACATTATATTAGAAGAATTATAACCATCATCATTATCAACGATCAACGTCATTTACGGTCAATTTGAAAAAAATTCTTTCATAAATGATCACTTTTTGAAATTGACTTCGAGAATGTTCTCAGTTCGACAATATGGACACGTGCTTGTATGTTTGTTATATCATCTGCTCATAAACAACAACATAAACACACACACAAATTGATAATGAACCAATTTGTCCATTATATTTGACAATGACAAGAGTACAATGATCTACCAACTTTTTTTTTTTGGTTACTAACTCGCATCCAATATATTGTATTGAAAGAATCTTCTTTTTTTTACTTTGGGTTGTTGAAGCCTGTCATTTGGTCTTATTTTTTGTTGGGTCTGTAAATAATTGGATCATTACGTTTGACATTTTGATGATGACGTGTGACGGTCTTGTCATTGATTCTTATTATTTTTTTTTTCGTTCACTGAATAAATGTTGATGACAGGCCATTGAAAGGGAAAGGCATACTTTACATCTAGTGAAAGAAAATGATGATGGCCACACACAACGTCATTTGATCCAGTTTTAGGTGGATAGAATATTTTGGAGAAAAAAAAATATTGTGACATTTTCAAAAAATCAAACTGGAATTTTTATACATGATAAAAAAAAGAAGATCATTGTCATTTTGTTTTTGATGACAAGGACAAGCATTGTTTGTTTGTCTATTTATCTGTTTGTTTGAAATTGTCTGATTTACAACAGTCAAACATTTTGTTTTTGTCTTGTACCATGGACTTTCAATTTTTGTTAGGTCGAACACACACACACCTAAATCTACAAAAGCGCAAAGGCCTTTGATTTTGTTGTTATCATTTTATTGCTTAAATTAGCCTCTGTAAGTAAGTTGATCTATATTTTTCTCCAATTCATTTGGAAAATCAAACCGTTCCTAAACGGGGTAATATATGTTTGCGTTGATATATTTATTTGGAATCTAAACATTTGTGAATGTTATATTGGTAATGTTTCATTGATCATTTGGAAGAAAAATATTTATCACTTTTACTGTTTATTGAGAATTTTTTCCTCTCTTCTATCGATTTCTCATCATTTATATCAATTGAAAACATTTATCAGCCCGGTTTCTATCTATATTCAGGATGATCAATAATTTAGTAAATAAATTAGAAAATAAAGAGATGAATTCTTACAAAGCAATAGACGCGTGCCATTCAATTGTCAATCAATGTCTCTATGTGCATGTGTCGATTTCAATTTAATTCTTTGAATGTTTATATGCTTATTGTTCCTTGTTGTTGTTGTTGTTGATTGTTATTATTGTTGATGTCGTCAATTTTTCATTCTATATTTGGATTTAATTAGATCAATACCCAAATTTTGTTTGTTCGTCCGTTTGTTGTCCGGAGTTCATCTTTGTCCAAATTGACTCATAAGCAGCTGCATAATATACATCTGCATGCTGTTTGTGTCTATATAATGGGAATAAAATTCGTTCGCCATAGAATTTTATTTCAACAAATATATAATAAATAATACATGCGAATTATCGGACAGTGGAAACAAAAATTTCATCAAAATCTATAGACAATAATGATGAACAAGCCAAACAAACAAACAAACAAACAAATAGATAAAACTGTACATTAATTCCATGTGTATTTAACATGGATAGAATCTTAAACTTTCAAATGAACATGGATAAAATGGTCGAAAAAATTATTCTTTTTTTTTTCAGAAATCTAATATTGATAAACAATGTTTGATACATGATTATCTTGATACATAAACCTCTATGTACACCTATGTATTCGATCCAGGTGTCTTTTTCAGTTAGAAATTCATCCAAAAACGGTTTCAGGATTAATATCTTTCGGATAAATACAGATGAGCAACAACAACAAAAATTTCCATTCTTTTCCAATCCAATGTACTATTTTAGTGTATCAATAAAAACCTGAAATTTTTATACATTTGCTGGCCATCATTCGATTCCATATAACACAAATGAATTGCAAAAAAAGGAAAGTTTTTATGATTCAATTGATTGGAACTAGATCATTTCGGGCTATAAATGAAGGTTTCGAATGCAAACATTGGACAGGTAAAATTCACTATAGTTCAAATCTTTCGATCATAAAAAAATGAGCGAGAAGAAAACTTTCACTGATACCGTTTTCTCAATCAAATTCACTTTTGTTTTTCAAATTTCTTCAGGGCAGGTAAAAATCAATCAATTGAATTTAAGCTTTCATCAAACATAAACTCTATTTTTAGATGTCACCAATTGAGAAAATTTAAAATTTTTTTCATTTTAATTTCTGTCATTCTTTTCATTTGCTATACAAAACTTTTCGCTTTCGTTTTTTTTTCTTTCGTCATCAATTCGACCAATTTGCTCTATTTTTAGATATCAATATAAATTTTATTGTGATCAATTACCTGGATTTCAAGTAGAACCTAAATAAAAATTATCTTTTCTCGGTATAAACTGAATGAAAAAAAAATCAATTTCAAGGGTGGCCCAAATATATTCATTTTCATTTTCATTTGATTTGTTTATTGATTTTTTTTGTTGTTCCTGTTATGTGTTTGTGCGATTTGCCGCATTTTTTTTAAGCAATTGAAAATGATCAAATAACAAATGAATTAGTTGAATGGAGGGAAAAAAAGTTCCTAGTTCCACGAAGGACATGAAATTTCGAGATCAGATCACTATAGATAATAATCGCTAGATTTGAACATGTTGAAGAACAAGGTGACCAAAGTTGTTTTATTTTTTTTCAGTATTTATTTATTTTATTTTTTGTTCCGCAAAGATCGTGATTTCCGTTGTACGTGTTCATAAATAAGTGTATATTTGGTCAAAAATTTGGTCACGAAAATGAAGACGATGTCGATAGGTTCAACCGACCGTGATGATGATCACATGATCACTATCTTTCAATGGTGATGTTTTTTTCCTTCTATGGCAAAGAAATCAACATCAGATGAGCGTCGATCATTTTCGTCGAGTTTTTTATTTGTACGTTCAACCGATCGATCGATCGAATCGTTAAGTCGGTGCTAAGAGGTTTCAATTTGAGCCATTTAGCAAGGCAAACAAAAACATTATGTGGATGTGAATCTTTTCTGAAGATTCTGTCGAATATGAATGAATGAATGAACAGCACAATGATGGCTTAAATTGGTACTTTTTTTTGACGTTCAACTATGATGACGATGGCGGCGGTGAAATATAAAAAAAACTGCAATATCAACAACTGAAAATTGACTTTTGAATTTGATAGTAGTCGATAGTAAGTATTATTTTTTAAAACTTTTCTAAATTCGTGATCGATTTGATCGTTGATTTTTTTCTACATTTTGCTTATCATTGCCGACGTCGTCGTCGTCGTCGTCGTCGATGATGATGATGACGACAAAGACGTTAGTTAGAAATTTACTATTCCCCTTTAGTTTAGGTGTTACGATCATGATGATGATGATGATGATATTGTGATGATGTACGTGGATTCGTGTCCTGTCTGAATTCGGTCATATACACAAACACACATACATCGAATGGTCATCAATTAAAAAAAACCAATGTCTATGTGAGTTGAATATTTGAAAATTATATTGAATTGAATTTAAGAATAAATTTTTTTTCATCTTTTAATTTTCTATTCATTCATTATATTAAATCGAGTGAGAAGACGAAATCGTGCAATAGCAACAGAAAAAAAGAGAGGCGAGAGGATTGAAACTTTCTAGACGGTTAGATCATTTTCATTGAAAACTTTTTTTGTGCCTATTCTCCCATCACTTTACTTGTTTGATTGTCACGAATTGTTTACAAACACTGTTGTTGATCAATTCAATTATAGTATCGACGATTCCGGAAAGTTTAATTTCTAGTTGAAAAATTTTAGAGTAAAAAATTGAAAGAAAAAGAGATCATTCACAAAATTTTTTTTTTGTTTGAACAAATTTTTATTTATTTTCACTAAATTTTTATTTTAATTTAATTTTTAATGAAAAAAGAGAATTATAACTGAATTAATAATATTGATGATAATAATAATTTACAAACAAAATTCCAATTCTTTCAATTTTCAACATCAATATCATCATCATCGTCATCATCGATTATTGACTTTATAATGGTTGTTGTTGAAATGTCATCATTATTATTATTTGGATGTTGATTTTTGTCGATCGTTATTAAATGGTCACCATTATTATCGATACTCATATCATCATCATGATGTTGTTGTTGTTGTTTTAGTTTTCGATGTTTACCATTATCTTCCTTTGATGATTGTCTTTGATTTCGACGATCGATATTTAATTTTTGATGTCGTTGTTGTTGATCATTTTTATTCATTTTCTCTTCATTCCACAACTTATCGTCATCATCATCATCATCATTGTTTTCATCATTAACATCGATATCAATATCTTCATCCTCCTCCTCATCTTCTTCAGCAAGTATTTCTTCATCGATTTCTTCTTCTTCCTCGGCCATTATTACTTCATCTCTTTCTTTTACCATTTCTTCAACAACAATTTCATCATCATCACCATCAATAAGATGTTGTTGTTCATCGACATCAATCTTAATATTATCATCGCCATTTTGTCGATGATGTTTTCGTCGTTTTCGTTGGCGTTTGCTTTTAGTTGTTAAAATTTGTCGTTGTTTGTCATCATTATGATGATGATTGTCATTGCCACCATTATGTCGAATAACGTTGTCATCATCATCAACAATCTCGTTATTGGGGGTGGTCATGATGGATGATCGATGATGTCGACGGTGATCATTATCATTAGGCGTAGGCGTTTGATGATTTAATAGTACTTTTGATGATTTGGGTGTCTGTTTTTTGCGAAAATCATTATCTTCATCATCAACATTCAATGTTTTTGTAGTTGTAGTTGATTTGGATTCCGGTTTTTTCTGTTGCTGTTGATAATATTGACGTGAGCTATGCAATGGTGGACGTCCTCGTACCGGATTTTGACTATTCGATTGATGATGATGATGTTGTTGTTGTTGATGATTGGTTATATCATTAGCGCCCATCAACATTTCACCATGTGTCATTGTAGTGGTTGTAGATTTTTCGCCAACGCTTAGATTTGTAGTCATCGCCGTAGTTGTCATTGTATCTGTCGTAGTAGAATTATTGTTGTCATTCGCAATACCGAATGAATGTGTCAACATATGACGACGTAAATCACAATTACGACGAAATTCTTTACCACAATCCGTACAATTATATGGTTTAATATCGGTATGTGTAAGTAGATGTGTCTTTAAATTAGATCTTTGATTAAATGATCTTCCACAGGTAGGACATTTATGTGGTGAATCATCCATATGCAGGATACGATGTACTGCTAATGTACGTGATTGACAAAAACCTTTTCCACATTCAGTACATTTAAATGGTTTTTCTTTCGAATGAATATAGCTATTAAATTTTTGAAAATAAAATGGAAAAAATAATGAGTATAATAATTAAAAAAATAAGTTCAAATGTTTTCAAGATATTTATTTTTTTAAAAAAATCAAAACACTTATGTATCCTTACCGATGATCACGAAGATGATCCTGGCGACGAAATGCTTTATTACAGATGTCACATGTATATGGTCGTTCATCCGTATGTGTACGTTCATGTATCAATAAATTATATGATTTAGTAAAACGACGTTGACAATAACGGCAAATAAATTCTTTTTTAGGTCGTGATGATATCCTATTTACACGTGCTAATTTTCTTGAAAAATAATCAGCTAAATGTGGACTTTGATGTTGTAATGTTGATAATAATGTTTGTGGATTAAAATTTGCAGCAGCAAAGAATGGACTAGTTGTATTGACTGTTTGTGATTTACCATCCTGTGATAATGTTGCAAATGGTCCAGAATTCAATAATGTTAACATTTTATTTGCATGTTCAAATGCATTTGGATTTGCCATAAAAGATTTATGTGTAACAACAATTGGACCATTATCTCGACATTTTGTTTCAGTTTTTTCCTCTGAATTTTTTTTACCTTCAGTTGCTGATTCGGCTAGACGGGAAAAATCAAACTTTGATGTCATTTTTCTATTATCATTTTTATCATTATTATTATGAATAGTTTTGTTGTTGTTGTTAGATTTATGATTATTCTGACTTAGATCTTGTGCTTGTTGATTATGATGATTATGATGTTGTTGTTTTTCCATTTTGTTCACCGATGATTTAGACCGACCATTTTGTCCATTCTGATGATGATTTACTTTGAATTCTTTTGTCTTCATATCTGAATATAATGATCGATTTTGTTGAGATGAAAGTTGTTGATGTGATGGCGGTAATGGAATGATTGGTCGAATAAAATTATTCGAATTCGATTGTCCAGTTGTTGTTGTTGATTGTGTTGCTGTTGTAGATGACGATGTTAAAAAGTCGTTTGCACTGGCAGCAAATGGTGGCGATGATAATGGTGCAAATGAATTGGTTTTTGGATTTGCAATCAATGTCGATAATTGATGAGATGGTTGTCCATTGCCATTATTACTCATAAATGATGCTGGCAAAAACGGAAGAAATGATGCTAAATGATTTGGTAACATTGTTAACAATTGATTTTGAATTGCTAATGTATCATTTAGATTCGGTGACATCGACGATGTGCGATTAGTTACTGCGGTTGAAGTTTGTGACAGTGGTAGTTGATGATTTACTGAGCCATTCATCGATGGCGGTTGTGGGGGATGAGAATGAGATTGAACAAATGAACGGCTACCATTTCGATTTGAACCAGCACCAAAACTATTGCTATTGGTCATTGAGAATTGGCCAGTTGTGACTATTGGTCCATTGTGTGGGGGTTGTTGTTGTTGTTTACACTGAAATAATCCAGGAATCTCTACGGGAGGCGACAATGAATGATGTTGACCAAGATTATGTAGCTGGCTTGAATTATGGTGGTTGGTCAGATGAACAAGATGATGTGGATGTGAATTCGTATGATGATGATGTCTAGATGTTGGCCCTAATGGTAAATGGTGATGACCAGAAACGGCAGCAGTCGGATTGGCCAAATTTGTTGCATGTACCATCGTTTTGTTTTTGTTTTATTCAAAAATGACAATGATGGAACGGATGTAGGAGGATGAGATCAAATAATATTGATAAAATCTAAAAAATTAGAAGAAAAAAAACAACGGTCATAAAAAATCATTTCGAAAAAAACGAACAAATTTTTAAAGAAAAAGAAATTCGTTATTTTATATGCATGGTTGTTTGGTTTGAATAGCTTTTGATCACAAATCAATTTCAATCATATATGATTATCATTATATATAATGATCATAAAATTTTCTTTCAAATAACCGAATCGATCATATTCTATTAATTGGTAAAAAATTTATTTTAATGATGTTCACTTATTATTCGATTGTATCTTCATATATGAACGAATCACTGTGATTGAGTACAATTTTTTTTTCGAAAGAACAATTTTTTCATTTTAAAATTCAAATTTAGTGGCTAAATATAATTACGAATTGCTTAAATCGATAATCATAAGATTGAAAATAATGATAATGATAATAGCCAATATTATTGGATGAAGGAAATGATTACATCGAACAAGGTTGCAACCGATCATCATCATTCGTCAAATCATTAACAATCATTAAGACAAAGACAAAATTCATAAATAAGAATTCATTTATTCGTTAATGTTTTTCTTCTTCATTATGAATTAATGTGTTTGCAATTGCGCCACGCCTATCATTTTTATTTCCTTTGTTTTTTTTCAGAAAAAAATTAACGAAAATTATTGTCAATAAACGTTGTTAAGGTTCCAAATGATAATTTGTACAAATGATGTTATCATCATGTTGATGAGAAATTGAGATGAAAATCGATCCTTTATCTTTGTTTTTATTTTCAGAAATTTTCTTTTTCAAAGCAAAAAAATACTAATAATAAGTTCTCAAAGTCATAATTTGATGATATCGTTGAAACAAAACAAAAAAAGAGAAAATTATGGACCGAGCGAACCGAAAATTTTACCGCCTTTAAGTCCACCTGTGTGTTTGTGTGCGATGATTACGATCATAATCGTTTTGAATCACTGATGCTATCTGAAATTTTTGCGGTTTCTATCTATTTATGCTTTCCTACGGTTAAGCAGATGAGATTATTTCAATTGTAAACAGTAAAAATAAATAATGAAACAAGAAGAAGAAGAAGAAAAAAAAACAAATAAAAAACAATGGTAAATATTATTATGTCTTTATTATATTGGTATTTAAAATTCAGAAAACAAAAATACCAAAACACAAGATCGAAATGAAATGAAATATAAATAATAAAAAAATTCAAAATCTTCTATAATTACTTATGCTACTTGATTTTTATTTTGTTTTTTTTATTGTTACTGATTCTTATTCATATTATTGATTTATTTTTGTTCAGGTCAAGCAGATGTGTTTAAATTGAACAATTGTTTGTTTGTTTTTGTTGAATTAGAATTTAACAAATTTTAAATTCAAGTTATTAGTTCAGAATGAATCATATCAAGAAAAAGAAATCTTATCTTTTTTTTTGGTCTTCTTAACAATAATAAAAAATTTTGTTTTCATTTTTAAGCCACAAGTTTCATCATAATTATGGAAAGAAACTGATTTTAAATTTGACAAATCAATCAATTTACAAATCGACTGTGAAAGAATTCATTTATTTGTATGAAAAGAATTCTGAGAAATAAATTTTCAAACATCATGAGAAAGTGAGAAAATAAGACAATGGAAAAAAATATGCCGCCATTACACACAGTTTGTCACACACAAACACGCAAACATTGGATTCTTCAGCAAGGAAAATATTGAAATTAGAAAAAATGCATACTTCTCATAAATTTAAAACACTCGACCATATCATGTCAAGTGGTTTTTTTTGTTTTGTTTGCTGGATATATTACAATATTGTTCATTATCAATGGTATTTCTATCCATAGGTCGTTTTTTCCCACAGATTTTTATTTTCTTCGCGGATAAACAACAATTTTCATTTCTTATAAGACAAATATATTGATCATTTACTTTACCTTTAAACATTTATTTTCAATGGTCATTTCCTTTCATTTTTGAAAGAAATAAAGCAAAAAAAACGGTACATAAGAAAAGAAATGGTTCAGGTTTCAATTGTGTGTGTGTCTGACTAGAAGATGTAGGAGCCCATAATAATTTGTTTCATGTAGATTTTTTTTCTTCTTGGAGACATTTGATAGACATATTGTGTATTGTTGATGTCAATGATCATTGATGATGATTATTGTGGAGGTGGTAGTAATGCAACGGTGTATAATGCTCTAGTTACTATTATCATCATCATCAATGATCATAATCACATTGCCTCCTACACACACACACAAACGAACAAATGATCCAACAATAAAATTATTACACACGAATGTTTGGCGAAAAAAAAGGCACGACAGATGATCAAATAGCCTATAGTCTATCAAATGGATAATGTGTCTGACCATTGGGACAGAAACAAACAAACACACACAATCATAATGTACAAAAATAATGAAAAACGATAGCGACAAATTAATGTGTTTGTGTATTCAATATTACCAACAGCGTCGATAACGATTAATCAAATAGTTGTGGTCCTTAAAAAAATAAAATAAAATAAATAATTTCATTGATCTTAAATTTTGATTCCTGAATTTTCTTTTTCTTTCATCTTTTTCATGTATATTGGAATAGTTTGTAATAAAATTTCAATAAATTTGCAATTTTTTCTGGAACAATTTTCAAGTAGGTATGTTTCTTTATCCATCGTCTTTTGATACAATACAAAGGTATATTTGGCTTGACCGTCAGTTTGACCACAGGACCCTATTGTTATATTTTTCTTCTTTTTTTTCTCGTATTCAAAAACCAAGCTTAATGGGCCTTTAATTGACTCTTGATTTCGAGTGACTTTTTTCTGACTAGTGATTTTCTTTCTTTAGTTGTTATCATAGGATATCTGGTATTAATCGCTAATGGTTACTTCAATGGTGGTCATGATCATCATCATACATACACAATATTGGATGAAATGAAAAAAACCTACAGGCAAGCCAGATGACTGACCACTGGTCATATATTTTTTTTACTAGTGGACATTTTGTTTCTATTGTCCCCATTGGTTTATTGTTCATCATCATCATCATCAATGTCTTTGCTTTTTCTTTTCTCTTTTCCTCATTCTCATGATAAGATTTAACAATAGTCAAAAAAATGGTGGTTTTCTTTTGAAAATTTTTCATGTTCACACACACATGACAAAAATGTTACGACATGATTTGGCTCGTGCTTTCGAAATGGATTTTGTTTTGGAACACAATACTTCGATAAATACGAGCTATTCATTTATATTCAATATTATTTCGATGTTTTCACTGGACACCATTGGAATCTTTGTTTTAAAAATTAACACAAGAAACAAGAGCTCGCAAGAAAACTTATGCTTGTCACATTGTTATATGATGATCATCATCATTATTTGACGACATGCAGTGTATCCATGAAATAAATTATGAACATTTTCATATACGGTTACAATAACAACAAAAAAAATTTATACGAATTTTCGCCAAGTGGTTAGTTGGTGGCCTCGAATACCAATAAAAGAAAAATTCCACATAACAGCAATTCAGCGTAATGAAAATGAAAATTCTTAGGAATTTCATTTTCATTTCTTCTTGAAGCTACTAGTCATTAGCATTTCGGTCAGTGGTCTCTAGCCTCATTTTCTTTCCAACAATCTTTTGTTATTTGATTGTTCATTTTTTTCGGACCATTCAAGTTCAATGGTCTGCCAATTAGCGAACGGTCATTTTGATCGATCTTTTTTTTCATATTTACAGTTTACAAGTATACAATAGATTTCTTATAAGAACAAAAAGGGGGTCGAATTATTTTTTCTTAAATATTGAATGATCATTTTTAATATCGTTTGATCGATCAAATAATGATATGTTTGCTTTCATATAAATCGATTGCTCTAGTTTTTTTTCATCTCGCTCATTGGTTGATCAATAACTTGATTTGATTTTCGAACATCGATCGATCGTTTTTTTTCTTTTGGTCAAAGGTCGATCCATCGGCAGGGATTCAACTTTTTTTTAAGTAAGAAAAAAAGTCAACTTCAACATATAAACATACATCGATGAATCATACAAGTGACGATAGAATACTTTTGATCAATATTTAATATTAACTTTTATATGTACATCTTGAGACAATAATAAATGGTCATCGGTCAATTGTCATTCGTTTTATTTTTGTTGTTGTCCATTAAATTGACTTTAACATTCCATAACAATATGTATTCATTGTTATTGACCACTTAAAATGTCATTTTGATCATTGAAAATTGACAAGTAAAAAAAAAATCGATTGTTCATTCGGGTTGTAATCACCTGTGTATGTGACCTTTTTTTCCTTTCTGCCTATTTCTTATCAAGTTTACACTTGACCACAAATGATTATTTTGATGATAATAATAATAAAAATACCGATAACTCTTTGAATAAACACCGATTGACCTTTGAAGAATTTTGGACCTAGATTCATTCTATCCCATAATAGTAATAAGACCTAAACATATTGGACAAGATTGAAAATTTGTTTGATTGATCAAATAAATTTTGAAGATGTTTTTCGATGTACCGCATCCATACATCCCTAGCGCACACAATCATACATAAAGTTGATGATGATGTATTTATATGTTAATAAAAATAAAATAAAATTGCAGGTGTGAGAAACGATCCTAGATCACACAGGTGAGAATAAGATCAAAGAGAAAGGTCAGGTAAATTCCAAAATCATTTTTTTCTTCTTTCTTTTATTTTATCTTTTTTCGCTGCTCATTTTAAATCGTAATTGTCAATGTTTGATTTGAACCTGTGATGACATTGTATACACCTGTGTGTGTGTGTGTGCATGTGTACATCTTTTGATTGTATACATTTTGTTTTCATTGGTTTATCGTTTATATTTAAAAAATCTTTACACATTTGTGTTTGCATGGACACAATATGCTTCAATAGATTTTGATCTTAATCTTTGACCCTAAGACAAACCACTTACTGTGAACCACATCTACTATCATCATCATTGTCTATA